GCCCCCCTCCCCCCACTCCTAGTCTTCCTCAACTCTGCCCCCCTACCCCACTCTTACCCTTTCTCAACACTTTCCCTTCCCCCACTCTTACCCTTCCTCAACACTTCCCCCAACTACACTCTTACCCTTCCTCAACACTTCCCCCAACTACACTCTTACCCATCCTCAACTCTGCCCCCAACCCCACCATCTCCCTTCCTCAACTCTGGCCGCTACCCCGCTCTCACCCTTCCTCAACTCCTCCCCCTACCCCACTCTTACCATTTCTCAACACTTCCCCTTCCCCCACCCTTACAAAAGTGCCGAAATCTGTACATCCTCAAATATTTGTGTACTTTCCTTTGTTTGTTACTCTACTACTTTCTGTAGCTCATAGACCCTATCATTATCGACAAATAGTAAGTTACCCAAAGTCGGCCATGCAAGTAAACGAACTACTCACTGTTTCAACCAAGTCGACACTATCATATAAACACAAACCCTCTGCAGCAACGTAGGATAACCATTTTTGAACTTGAACTTTGTTTTTATAACCGCTACTCAGCAACCAAATATCATTCAGTTCCATTCACAGCTTGTCGAGTAATGTTCAACACATGCAATCAACAAATGTACAAAAATCCCGCTGCAGTACCGTTGGGAAAAGCCAGGTGGACCAATTTGAACTTGACCTACATTTCTACAACAGCTAACCGCTAAATGTACCCACATGCGAAATATAAAAAAAAGATCAGATCCATCCACAACTTCTCGAGTTATGATGTTGACCTAGTACATAGAACCACCAGGCCCAAACCGAAAATACCCTCCGGTATTACGGACTCAGGCGGAGAGGACGGCTTTACAACTCCCGTAAGACCTGTAACGGTTTTACATTTATTGAATGCAACAAGGCCATCTGATCTAGCTTACTTATAGCCATCTATCGTTTCGTTCTATTCGCCACCCCCCCCCCGCACAGTCGAATCGCCCATGTTCTACTACAATGTATATGTTTGTGACGTCTCTAAACAACATTGGTGTTCTAAACACTGCATAGAGACAGTGCTCAACGATAACGTTGAAATATAAAAGGCTCCGCAGCTTTTACTTTTTTCGAAGTCAAGCTTCGTCGATAACGGCTGAATAATGCTTCGATTTGCGAGGAAAATTTTAATAAGATGTTTCCCAAAAAGAAACGGGAAAGTAGCGCCATTGCCAGTTGAGGAGACGGTGGAAGATGGTGAACATGGCGTGGCACGGGGACGCGCAGGTGAGTGAAGCAGATTCCTTTTGAAGTAGAACCTACTGATAGAGTAACCCCCTCAACACACACGCACACACACACGCACACACACTACACACACATACGCATATATTCACACATACTGACACGAACACACACACGCGCGCGCACACACACGCATACACACACACACACACACACACACACACTACACACACACACACACACACACATACACATACACACACACACACACACACACTGGGATCATGAGTCCCTCCATGTAACGTACGAACTTTATACTCACAGTCCCGGAGGCATTGATGCCTCAACCTAGGCCCAGCACAGCCTGGGCGCTCGCCGGGAAGTCTGATGAAGTTGCGGCGGAATCGCAACAGGACGCACCGAAGCCGACAGTGGCGCCTCAGCGGCCGGTCCCCGCGGTCGTGACGCCTGTCGCTCGGTCAGAAAAGATCGTTGTGTTCAGACATCCGACAGAAAATGTGAATCTTGTGAAGGGGAGTTTCGTACAGCCCTGCCCGACGAGCAGCATGGATCTAACACCCGGCAAGCCAGTGACAGAGAGAGAGCACCACCGTAGAGCGGTGCTCAGGAGCGGCGGATTCGGCAACGTGTATGCCGGCACAAGGGCACGGGACGGCCTACCGGTGGCCATCAAGCATATAGCGAGCAAGCCAGTGACAGAGAGAGAGTCTTTCGAGAGGGCGTACCACCGTAGAGCGATGCTCAGGAGCAGCGGATTCGGCAACGTGTACGCCGGTACAAGGGCACGGGACGGCCAACTGGCGGCCATCAAGCATATAGCGAGCAAGCCAGTGACAGAGAGAAAGTCTTTCAAGACGGTGTACCACCGTGGAGCGGTGCTCGGGAGCGGCGGATTCGGCACCGTGTATGCCGGTACAAGGGCACGGGACGGCCTACCGGTGGCCATCAAGCATATCGCGAAAAAGAAAGTCCCAGGATGGGGACAGTTGAACGGAGTGCGTGTTCCCTTGGAGATCGTCTTGTTGCGGCGAGTGATGGGCCACGACGACATCATCAAGTTGTTGGCCTGGAACGAACGCCCGGATTCCTACATCCTCATCCTGGAGCGTCCAGAGCCAGTCATGGACTTGTTTCACTTTATCAATGAAAAGGGTGCTCTGGGCGAGTTCTTGAGCAGAGACTTTATGCTCCAAATCGTGAACATGGTCAGGCATTGCCACAACCAGGGTGTGGTACACAGAGATATCAAGGCCGAGAACTTACTAGTCGACTTGAGGACGGGGAGAATTAAGCTAATCGACTTTGGGTCTGGCGCCTCCCTGAAAGACACAGTCTACACAGATTTCGCTGGAACGAGAATATACAGTCCTCCTGAGTGGATCCGGTTCGGTCGCTACCACGGTCGCCGGGCAGCGGTCTGGTCGCTGGGCACCCTGCTGTACGTCATGGTTTGCGGCGTCATTCCCTTCGAGCGAGACAGCGAAATCTGCAGAGGCGTGGTCTACTTCGAACGACGGGTATCAAAAGAATGCGAAGATCTCATCAGGTGGATGCTGACAATCCGTCCGTCCGGCCGCCCTTCTCTCAAGCAGATCCTAGAACACCCGTGGATGCTGAAAGGCAGGAGTCTGTCGAGACGTCTGTCGAGCGCCGGTAAGTTAAGGAAATGTTCCGTTCTTTAGAAATTTACCAAATAAGAAAGCATTCAGAACGAATATCGTGTAACGCTAACGCCTTATAATATTCGTCCTCACTCACTCACTCAAGGCCGCACTCAAGGCCAAATACCACGTCCCGTGGTATTTAATGGGAGATTGAAAAACAAACATCAAATTGGGGTTTTGTAACTTTGAATTTTTTTTTTTTTTGGATTGACAGATATTTTTCTTTTCCAGTCGTTCGTCGTAAGATTCTCAGTGGTTTGAAAGTATCCGCAAGCTAGCCGGCGAGGCAGCAGAGAAGGTGCGGCCAAAGTTCCGGCCAAGAGGACCCTAAGTTCCTCATCCCCTCTGTGAGCACTTTCTCTCACAGCCTGGCTTCTGTGACAAACCTTCCCCGACAATCAGAAACTCATCTTCTACCTTAACATCTGCTTGGAGATAAGGTAACCGTAACAAGGCAGTTTCATGTAACAACAGCGCTCTTTGCGATTTGTACCATCATTGCAGTTTATCACGTGGTTCAAAATGGCTGCGCTCTTACGATCGGTGAAGTTGGTGCGTTTCATACCGACTATAACTCGACAAATTGGACAAAACACAACCAGATTGTCTTCGTCGAACGCACGTCTTGCATCAAAGTACTTGCAGGAAGCACAATTTCCTCGGTAAGTGTTCCTTTGTGTTTATTTTACCACATTGTTTTGCAGACGACCGGCGTGCGCATGGAGTGGAGGTCATACATGTGTATAATTTGCACACATGGTCAAGGCCTCAAGGCGAACAGAACAAGAAACTAGCAAGCGTGTGTCTGAACGCAACAGATGAAACTAGAAATTATTGGTGCTATCAGCAGCTCAAGACGACGTGTTAGAAAGGTTAACAGATTTTCTGTATTCTTCCTCAAATTATGATACGATGGTAATTTTAGTTTGCATAAATTTTCTTGCCAAATCACGTTTTATTTTTGAGGGGACGTTTTTCAGAAGACTTGATTCTCAAACTTCAAAGACAAAATGTATTACTGCATTATTAAATGTATTAAGCACTGTAATATGTAGCCGTGGACGACTCTGTAACCCACCCAAGAAAACGCGCCTTTCAATGCAATATGAGCCAAAAGTTGGTGCCCCTAAACCCTCAAATGCAACAACATCAGTTCCAACGTCCGGATTCTGTATTCGAATTTTCGAAAGGGGCACACGCGGTTAGGGCGAAACGCGTTTGAATCGTTTTATGGAAGCCATTGAAGCGTTCGATAACGGGTTCCGGACCGGGCCGTACCGTAAAGTACGGCCCGGTCTGGAACCCGTTATCGAACGTTATCGCGGCCCGGGTATGATATAATGCCGGGTACATAGTCGTGGTGCGATCCATAGGCCAAAACCAACCTTTGCCGTGCCGGGCCTCATGCAACGGGCCGGCCCCGGTTTTTTGGTGTCGCTGGCTTCCTAACGCACTCACCTGCCGGGCCGGGGGGATAAGACCCTAAACAAACGCAGCATTTAACCACAACACGGCCTCGGAGCACGTAACTCCATACAAATCATCGGCGATCGACGCCATATTGAATTCAGGAATTGGTCCGCAAAACAGGCCGGGCCCTGAGTTTACGACAGTTATTTTCAACTCTCCAACGTTCAAGCTGCAGGGATGTGACGTAATCTGTCGTAAACTGAGGGTCCGACCTGTTTTGCGGACCAATTCCTGAATTTAATATGGCGTCGATCGCCGATGATTTGTATGGAGTTACGTGCTCCGAGGCCGTGTTGTGGTTAAATGCTGCGTTTGTTTAGGGTCTTATCCCCCCGGCCCGGCAGGTGAGTGCGTTAGGAAGCCAGCGACACCAAAAAACCGGGGCCGGCCCGTTGCATGAGGCCCGGCACGGCAAAGGTTGGTTTTGGCCTATGGATCGCACCACGACTATGTACCCGGCATTATCATGCAAAAAGGGTTACAGAGTCGTCCACGGCTATGTAATATGAAACTAAAGCACTTACCAGCATTTGTAATATATCATACCAAGCTTGTATTTAACCTCCTTGATCATACTAACACATAATAAATTTAGCATGTACCAAGACACGGTGTACACAAAACATTGTTACACAACTGCCCCCCTCCCATGTTCTTCAGCCCCAGATACCTGAGCACCACACTACACAGACCGCAGGATGTCCAGGAACAGCAGGGCACAGCGCCGCAGGTCTCGGCACGGGACGCAGTACGCCAGGCTGCCATGTTTGAGCAGCTCCTACGGGAACTGGACTTCTCGGTCAGAAGAACGGGCAGAATCGTCAAGTCCAAGTTGGAAAGAGTCTTCAACGCTGTGGTCACTTCAGGTAGGGTTTAACCTTCAGCCTGCTAAGGTATCCCTTTGGTAGCCCCAAACTTTGTATTAGTTACCAGGTTATAATT